GCAAAACATGAGTTAGCAAGGTCATTGAAGCTTTGGTCTTGAGTAGCTTTACTAAAATTGGTTGGATCAATATTTGAGTGATAGGGGTTGGATTTGAGTAGGATCTGCCAAGTATAGATAGGCCAGTAGGCCTGGTGCAGTGTTCCTTTAGTCTTTTGTTTTAATGTGCAGAACAACCACTGTGAAAAGAATATTGAACTTCCAAGTGCTTTTGTGATTTCTCACATTATCAAGGAACTATTCCTTGATAATGTGAGAAGTCACGAAAGCACTTGTAAGTTTACTGTTTTTCTCAGTGGTTGTTCTGCATATTGTAATATCACCTGTTTACAGTGATCTTATTGCAGCATTGTTCTAATGTGTTTATTTTTACCTTTAAGGTTATATAGTGCCTGGGGAATGAGAGACAATCTGGTTTAATCCACTACCATAGAAGGGTTTTGAGAGTTTACCTATTCTCACAGCTTGGCCCAAGTCCAGGCCTGTTTGGAGGATAAATCCAATTTCTTGAATCAAGAGCCCCTTGCCATTATCAAGGCACCTCTCTTGAGGGAAGTATAATGGTAATGTTCAGTCATAGTTTTGTACTGCTCAATGGAAATTCCTTGATGCTGGTGAGGGGCTCTTTTGTATTGAACCTGATTGCTTCTTATTTCCCATATGCTGTACAACCTCTATAGGTTTAGTGCTTCCCTAAATTTAATATAATAATGATAATAATAATACTAATATTAAATAATAATAATATTAAATAATAATATTAAATAATAATAATATTAAATAATAATAATAATAATATTGGTATATATTAGTAGTGATGTTACTTTGCTCACACTCCAACAGCACGTCAAGTATTAAAAACCATTTGTCTCCATTCACTCCTATCAAACACGCTCACGCATGCATGCTGGAAGTCCAAGCCCCTCGAACACAAAACCTCCTTTACCCCCTCCCTCCAACCTTTCCTAGGCCGACCCCTACCCCACCTTCCTTCCACTACAGACTGATACACTCTTGAAGTCACTCGGTTTTGCTCCATTATCTCTACATGTCCGAACCACCTCAACAACCCTTCCTCAGCCCTCTTGACAACAGTTTTGGTAATCCCGCACCTCCTCCTAACTTCCAAACTACGAATTCTCTGCATTATATTCACACCACACATTGCCCTCAGACATGACATCTCCACTGCCTCCAGCCTTCTCCTCGCTGCAACATTTATCACCCATGCTTCACACCCATATAAGAGCGTTGGTAAAACTATACTCTCATACATTCCCCTCTTTGCCTCCAAGGACAAAGTTCTTTGTCTCCACAGACTCCTAAGTGCACCAGTCACCCTTTTCCCCTCATCAATTCTATGATTCACCTCATCTTTCATAGACCCATCCGCTGACACGTCCACTCCCAAATATCTGAATACATTCACCTCCTCCATACCTCTCCCTCCAATCTAATATCCAATCTTTCATCACCTAATCTTTTTGTTATCCTCATAACCTTACTCTTTCCTGTATTCACTTTTAATTTTCTTCTTTTGCACACCCTACCAAATTCATCCACCAATCTCTGCAACTTCTCTTCAGAATCTCCCAAGAGCACAGTGTCATCAGCAAAGAGCAACTGTGACAACTCCCACTTTATGTGTGATTCTTTATCTTTTAACTCCACGCCTCTTGCCAAGACCCTCGCATTTACTTCTCTCACAACCCCATCTATAAATATATTAAACAACCACGGTGACATCACACATCCTTGTCTAAGGCCTACTTTTACTGGGAAATAATTTCCCTCTTTCCTACATACTCTAACTTGAGCCTCACTATCCTCATTAAAACTCTTCACTGCTTTCAGTAACCTACCTCCTACACCATACACCTGCAACATCTGCCACATTGCCCCCCTATCCACCCTGTCATATGCCTTTTCCAAATCCATAAATGCCACAAAGACCTCTTTAGCCTTATCTAAATACTGTTCACTTATATGTTTCACTGTAAACACCTGGTCCACACACCCCCTACCTTTCCTAAAGCCTCCTTGTTCATCTGCTATCCCATTCTCCGTCTTACTCTTAATTCTTTCAATAATAACTCTACCATACACTTTACCAGGTATACTCAACAGACTTATCCCCCTATAATTTTTGCACTCTCTTTTGTCCCCTTTGCCTTTATACAAAGGAACTATGCATGCTCTCTGCCAATCCCTAGGTACCTTACCCTCTTCCATACATGGGGATTGGCAGAGAGCATGCATAGTTCCTTTGTATAAGTAATATTTATGAAGGGGTTCAGGGAAACCGGCAGGCCGGACTTGAGTCCTGGAGATGGGAAGTACAGTGCCTGCACTCTGAAGGAGGGGTGTTAATGTTGCAGTTTAAAAACTGTAGTGTAAAGCACCCTTCTGGCAAGACAGTGATGGAGTGAATGATGGTGAAAGTTTTTCTTTTTCGGGCCACCCTGCCTTGGTGGGAATCGGCCAGTGTGATAAAAAAAAAATTAGTAGTAATGCTATTAATTATTATTATTATTAGTTGTTAATCTAATACTGCAGTTATAGTCAAAAGAAAATGCTTGTAATATATGAGAAAGTTGGAGTGGGTAGGTGAGGCTAGCAGTGGGTAGTTGAGGCTAGCAGTGGGTAGTTGAGGCTAGCAGTGGGTAGTTGAGGCTAGCAGTGGTGGGTAGGTGAGGCTATCATTGTGTAGGTGAGGCTAGCAGTGGGTAGTTGAGGCTAGCAGTGGTGGGTAGGTGAGGCTATCATTGTGTAGGTGAGGCTAGCAGTGGGTAGTTGAGGCTAGCAGTGGTGGGTAGGTGAGGCTATCATTGTGTAGGTGAGGCTAGCAGTGGTAGTTGAGGCTAGCAGTGGGGGTAGGTGAGGCTATCATTGTGTAGGTGAGGCTAGCAGTGGGTTGTTGAGGCTAGCAGTGGTGGGTAGGTGAGGCTGTCAATGTGTAGGTGAGGCTATCATTGTGTAGGTGAGGCTAGCTGTGGGTTGTTGAGGCTAGCAGTGGTGGGTAGGTGAGGCTGTCAATGTGTAGGTGAGGCTAGCAGTGGGTAGTTGAGGCTAGCAATGGTGGGTAGGTGAGGCTATCATTGTGTAGGTGAGGCTAACAGTGGGTAGGCAAGGCTAGCAGTGGTGGGTAGGTGAGGCTATCATTGGGTAGGTGAGGCTAGCAGTGGGTAGGCAAGGCTAGCAGTGGTGGGTAGGTGAGGCTATCATTGGGTAGGCAAGGCTAGCAGTGGTGGGTAGGTGAGGCTATCATTGTGTAGGTGAGGCTAACAGTGGGTAGGCAAGGCTAGCAGTGGTGGGTAGGTGAGGCTATCATTGGGTAGGTGAGGCTAGCAGTGGGTAGGTGAGGCTAGCAGTGGGTAGATGAGGCTATCATTGGGTAAGTGAGGCTAGCAGTGGGTTGGTGAGGATAACAGTGGATAGGTGAGGCTATCATTGGGTAGGCGAGGCTAGCAATGGGTAGGTGAGGCTATCATTGGGTAGGTGAGGCTAGCAATGGGGAGGTGAGGCTATCATTGGGTAGGTGAGGCTAGCAGTGGGGAGGTGAGGCTATCATTGGGTAGGTGAGGCTAGCAGTGGGTAGGTGAGGCTAGCAATGGGTAGGTGAGGCTAGCAGTGGGTAGGTGAGGCTAACTGGGTAGGTGAGGCTAGCAGTGGGTAGGTGAGGCTAACTGGGTAGGTGAGGCTAGCAGTGGGTGAGGGTAGCAGTGGGTAGGTGAGGCTAGCAGTGGGTAGGTGAGGCTAGCAGTGGGTAGGTGAGGTTAGCAGTGGGTAGGTGAGGCTAGCAGTGGGTAGGTGAGGCTAGCAGTGGGTAGATGAGGCTATCATTGGGTAAGTGAGGCTAGCAGTGGGTTGGTGAGGATAACAGTGGATAGGTGAGGCTATCATTGGGTAGGCGAGGCTAGCAGTGGGTAGGTGAGGCTAGCAGTGGGTAGATGAGGCTATCATTGGGTAAGTGAGGCTAGCAGTGAGTTGGTGAGGATAACAGTGGATAGGTGAGGCTATCATTGGGTAGGCGAGGCTAGCAGTGGGTAGGTGAGGCTAGCAGTGGGTAGGTGAGGCTATCATTGGGTAGGTGATGCTAGCAATGGGGAGGTGAGGCTATCATTGGGTAGGTGAGGCTAGCAGTGGGGAGGTGAGGCTATCATTGGGTAGGTGAGGCTAGCAGTGGGTAAGTGAGGCTAGCAGTGGGTTGGTGAGGATAACAGTGGATAGGTGAGGCTATCATTGGGTAAGCGAGGCTAGCAGTGGGTAGGTGAGGCTAGCAGTGGGTAGGTGAGGCTAGCAGTGGGTAGATGAGGCTATCATTGGGTAAGTGAGGCTAGCACTGGGTTAGTGAGGATAACAGTGGATAGGTGAGGCTATCATTGGGTAGGCGAGGCTAGCAGTGGGTAGGTGAGGCTAGCAGTGGGTAGGTGAGGCTATCATTGGGTAGGTGAGGCTAGCAATGGGGAGGTGAGGCTATCATTGGGTAGGTGAGGCTAGCAGTGGGGAGGTGAGGCTATCATTGGGTAGGTGAGGCTAGCAGTGGGGAGGTGAGGCTATCATTGGGTAGGTGAGGCTAGCAGTGGGTAGGTGAGGCTAGCAATGGGTAGGTGAGGCTAGCAGTGGGTAGGTGAGTCTAGCAGTGGGTAGGTGAGGCTAACAGTGAGTAGGTGAGGCTAGCAGTTGGTAGGTGAGGCTAGCAGTGAGTAGGTGAGGCTAGCAGTGGGTGAGGGTAGCAGTGGGTAGGTGAGGCTAGCAGTGGGTAGGTGAGGCTAGCAGTGGGTAGGTGAGGCTAGCAGTGGGTAGGTGAGGCTAGCAGTGGGTAGGTGAGGCTAGCAGTGGGTAGATGAGGCTAGCAGTGGGTAGGTGAGGCTAGCAATGGGTAGGTGAGGCTAGCAGTGGGTAGGTGAGGCTAGCAGTGGGTAGGTGAGGCTAACAGTGGGTAGGTGAGGCTAGCAGTTGGTAGGTGAGGCTAGCAGTGGGTAGGTGAGGCTAGCAGTGGGTGAGGGTAGCAGTGGGTAGGTGAGGCTAGCAGTGGGTAGGTGAGGCTAACAGTGGGTAGTCTGTACCAGCACATTGTCCAGGTAGGGCAACAAGCTGGAACATGATGGCTTGTGTATGCTATACTCCCCACTCTTCTCCCATCACAAACCTTCACATTTACACATGACTTTAACATATGTATACTGTATATAATGAATGCAAGTATGGATTGGATTAATTCCAAGTAATTTCATTCATTCAAGGTTGTTAATTTTTTTGTGGATATGTATGACAACTGGCAACTTGAATTGGGGGTTAGGTTAAGTTGCCATACACTCAGTGTAAGCCAGGTGGTGGTGGGGGTTACTTGTTGCATCATGAGTTTCAACATGCATAGTGTGCAAGATCTAACTCCTCCAGTGTGGGTAAGTCTGTTGAAGAATGTTGCAGAAGCTTGCAAATTATCAGGTTACTATTTATTATTAATTTTTTTTTACTCAATCTTTTTCAGTCAATCTCCCCTTTCACTCTTTATTGTACTCTCACTCCCTGTCACTCTTTCACTTCCACTTTTACACTCTCCCACTCCCTTTCACTCTCTCACTTCCACTTTTACATACTCCCACTCTCTTTCACTTTTACACACTCCCACTCCCTTTCACTTTTACATATGCCCACTCCCTTTCATTCTCACTCCCACCTCCTTTCACTCTCACTTGCTTTCACTCTTGCTCTCTCACTCCCCCTCCCTTTCTGTCCCAAGTTCCTTTCACTCACTTGCTGTCATTCTTACTTGCTCTCACTCTTACTAGCTCTCACTCTTACTCTCACTTTCACTCTCTTTCATTCTCACTTTCACTCATTCTCTTTAACTTTTTCACTCACTTTTGCTCATTTTGTTATTCACTCTTATTTTCTCACTCATTTTCACTCTCTCTCACTTTTGCTCTTATGCCCTCACTTTCTCACACCCTTTCACTCTTACTCTTTCACTCTGTCATTGTGTCCCGTCTCTTCCTATAAAGAAGCAAGCATGTTATCGCTTATTCAATAGTTTCCATGCCACAAGTGTTTGGAGATCACAGTTAACATGGCCCCTCAGGGTTTGGACACCGAGACCTGGATTATTATTGTTATAGAGATTTTGTTTTCACGTGCCACCATTTCTTAACTTGCATGTAATATTTTATTCTGTGTTGTAGGTTCGGTTGCAAAATGCCCTCAGTCAGCCAGTTTTGCAAATTAGATGTGAAGAAATTGGGCGTATTTTAAATGAAGCCACCAGCAAGGATGCGAATTTCATTCTTCGTGCAGTAGTGGAAAGCATATTTGGTGTAAATGGTCAAGTGGGATGGGGTCTAAGAACAATAACCCATAGTCTTCTCATGAGAGAGTTCGAACTGTTGCGAGCTTTTCTGAGCGCCTCGGGTCCACTGCTGTCACTGACCTATCGTCTGGCAAATGATCCATTCCTCATGTTTGAATTTCCAGTAGCATGGCTTCCAGTAAGTATTTTTCTATCTCTCTCTCCTTTTTTTTAAAGTTTTCATTTATATCATGTGTTTAAGGATATTAACCCTTTGAGGGTTTTCGTCGTACTAGTACGTCTTACGCGTAGGGGTTTTTGACGTACTAGTACTCATAAATTCTAGCGGCCTCAAATCTAGTGGGAGAAAGCTGGTAGGCCTTCATATGAAAGAATGGGTCTATGTGGTCAGTGTGCACAGTCTAAAAAAAATCCTGCAGCACACAGTGCATAATGAGAAAAAAAAAACTTTGACCATTTTTTTTTAATAAATCAGCGACTTTGCAGTGTATTTTCGTATGGTATTTATTGTTGTATTCTAGTTTTCTTGGTCTCATTTTATAGAATGGAAGACATATTACTGAAATTGAGATGATTTTGACTGGTTTTACAATGAAAGGTGCCTTGAAATTGAGCTCAAAGTAGCAGAAATGTTCGATTTTTACCGAACTTCAAAAGTAAACAAATCGTGCCAAGCGTGCAATACACGTCAACTGGTGAGTCTAATATTCTTTCACAAGTGCACCAATAATATTTATACCATTTTTTACACTAATGCAGTAGTCTGCATAACAGTAAATCTTATATTTTTTGTGAGAATAAAAATTCAAAGTGGAAAGCAAAAGAATATAAGAGGGGCCTTGAGACGTGACTAATGACTAGAGGAAATGTCATTTTAGTGCCAGGAATGTCTTTCTTGTTTATTCTGGACCCTATTCGGAAATTGGCATCTTTTGAAATTTGTGTGAAATTGGCAAAATTGCTAAATTCTGACCACTGTACTGGATAGTTGAATTTATAAATGGGTGGTTTCTTGCACCCATTCGATAGAAAAAATGGAGTTCTAGCGAAATATTCATGTTTTTTGTCGACTAGTACAGTAAAATTGGCCGAAAATGGGGCTCAAATCGGGCAAAATCGCCGATGCGTAAACATCGCCGAGACCGCTAACTTTGCGAGAGCATAATTCCGTAAGTTTTCTATCAAATTTTAAACTTTTGGTGTCGTTATGATCGGGAAAAGATTCTCTATCTTTTCATAAGAGAAAATAATTTTTTTTTTTTTTAAATTTGGCCGACCCTGAGAACGAGTTTCGGAGAGGGCCTGTCGACCCTCAAAGGGTTAATGTGTTATGCACTTTGAAAATCATTGGTTAATGAAAAGTACCACAGTTTGCTTACTGGTACTGTATTTAGATTTCTCATTACTGTACATATATTGCATTCACATACAGTACTGCATGAGGTGCCATGTGCAAGAGTGATGATGTAAGCATCAGGACTTCAAATAACCTTAAAACATTTATCCACTGGTATATAAAAAAAATGTATTTTTTTATTAATTAGCGTATTTAACAGTAGCATGTATGTTGTCAGTGGATTAAGGTCATTGTACTAATCAAATTTTCTCTGCCAGATCAAATCTCGTTCTGAAATAGAAGATGGCACTCCAGGAGTTTTTTATGTCAACAAAGTGCAGAATCCAGGTCCTGGGAAAACACCAACCAATATTCTACTGAGTACCCTTTTATATGTCTAGCCAGTGTATTGTATTCCCTAAATAACAGCAGTCTTTTGTCCCTTTTATATGTCTAGCCAGTGTATTGTATTCCCTAAATAACAGCAGTCTTTTGTCCCTTTTATATGTCTAGCCAGTGTATTGTATTCCCTAAATAACAGCAGTCTTTTGTCCCTTTTATATGCCTAGCCAGTGTATTGTATTCCCTAAATAACAACAGTCTTTTGTCCCTTTTATATGTCTAGCCAGTGTATTGTATTCCCTAAATAACAGCAGTCTTTTGTCCCTTTTATATGCCTAGCCAGTGTATTGTATTCCCTAAATAACAGCAGTCTTTTGTCCCTTTTATATGTCTAGCCAGTGTATTGTATTCCCTAAATAACAGCAGTCTTTTGTCCCTTTTATATGTCTAGCCAGTGTATTGTATTCCCTAAATAACAGCAGTCTTTTGTCCCTTTTATATGTCTAGCCAGTGTATTGTATTCCCTAAATAACAGCAGTCTTTTGTCCCTTTTATATGTCTAGCCAGTGTATTGTATTCCCTAAATAACAGCAGTCTTTTGTCCCTTTTATATGTCTAGCCAGTGTATTGTATTCCCTAAATAACAGCAGTCTTTTGTCCCTTTTATATGTCTAGCCAGTGTATTGTATTCCCTAAATAACAGCAGTCTTTTGTCCCTTTTATATGTCTAGCCAGTGTATTGTATTCCCTAAATAACAGCAGTCTTTTGTCCCTTTTATATGTCTAGCCAGTGTATTGTATTCCCTAAATAACAGCAGTCTTTTGTCCCTTTTATATGTCTAGCCAGTGTATTGTATTCCCTAAATAACAGCAGTCTTTTGTCCCTTTTATATGTCTAGCCAGTGTATTGTATTCCCTAAATAACAGCAGTCTTTTGTCCCTTTTATATGTCTAGCCAGTGTATTGTATTCCCTAAATAACAGCAGTCTTTTGTCCCTTTTATATGTCTAGCCAGTGTATTGTATTCCCTAAATAACAGCAGTCTTTTGTCCCTTTTATATGTCTAGCCAGTGTATTGTATTCCCTAAATAACAGCAGTCTTTTGTCATTGTCTCCTGCATTACTGTGAAGACCAAAGTATTTAGCACTTCATAATAAAAATGTTTAATGTATTGTGCAACTGAACAATGTTGCATAGTTGAGTCTCACCAAGTTGGAAGGAGGATAACAATCAAGTTTTGATAAGCAGAAGCTTGAGCATCCTATAGGCATGTGTGTGTTTGATCAGTAAGAGAAGAATTGGTTTTGGGGATTTGATGAGCAAGGCCTGGTCACAGACCGGGCCACGGGGGCATTGACCCCTTGAAACCCTCTCCAGGTAGCTGTATGTAGTGTGAGCAAGGTAACATCTAGGAAGGTATTCAGGGAAACTGGTTAACTGACTTGTCTGCACACTTCTAACAAAACAGCAATTGAATTAATGGTAGTGAATTTTTCCTCTGAGTCTACTTATCATAGTAGGAAACAGGTAGTATTGAGAATTATGTTCATCTTACATTTATATTTTCACATTCAATTAAATCTTATTTACCCTGTGTCTTGTCAAATTTTCAAAATGTCTGGTATTTGTAAAAAATGTAAGGTATGCAATATAATCTTATCAATAGCACTGCATTCATTATATAATATAGTACCATAGTATCCTGATAATTTTATTTGAAGAGATTGATATTTTCCTTAACTAATTATTGTAGATGCTTTTGAATTTTACATATTTCATTTTGCACACTTTCTTGTGAGTGGAAGCAATCAGAGATGGTCACTATCATGGTCAACTGCTGGTGATGCTCTCTATCCCAGTCTTCTAGAAGACTACCTTAGTACATTTCTACCATGTGACAGCTCCATACCTCCTGGTCCACTAAGCCCTCCTGTCTCTCCGAGAGGTGTATTATCTCCTATCTCTCCCAGGTATGGAATGCCTGGGTGCCGTATTCAAAACTGGAAGCATACGAATACTATAAACAGGTTATTTTCTTAAATTTATTGCCCTTGGTTTTGTAATCAAAATAAAGTTGCTATGCTATCAACTAGTCAATCATGCAATCCCAACATGAGATCAATTCTTGGAAAATGTCTGGCTTGTTGAGCATTCTTGAATCCTTAGCTGCCATTTAAAGGGTCGCCTACCAGACATGTTCACCAAGAATAATTCTTGTACTTGGCTGGTATATCAGACTTTTGTTAACATGGGCATTTTTGTTGTGGAAACTAGGATAATAATTTAATAGGGAAATAACTTTTATTCAGCATGTGTTGTTATTAAAGAATCAAAAGGCACAGTACCATGATTGGAACAATACACAAATAACCCTCACGTAGTTAATGGTCGAAGTTGGACCAAAATGTTGTCATGAGTTTCTTTCTCCTATGTGTGGGTTATTTGTGTATTGTTATTGTTATATTTATAATTTGTGTCTGAATCTGAATCCACTATCCTCTTTGGTTTGAAGCTTCTTGGTTAGTGGTCCACATACCAGTTTTATAAGTATTGTACAGGTAGGCCCCACTTGTACAGCAGGTTAGGTTCCAGGCTACTGCTGTAAAACAAAAATTGCTGTGAAGTGAAACAGTCACAGTAGTGGCCCATGCTAACTTTCCTGTGGTGTATAGAAATATACCTAGTTGGGTGAATCTCATTAGAGTCAGCTGGCCCAATGGCTTACGCACTGGCCTGAAGTTTTGGGGCTCACTTGCTATAGGTTTGAACCCCACCCATTCCATGTTTTTTAGCTTAAATTATTTTGATGTCCAAAATTGTAAGGTGCTCTTCATCCAAGGAGTTGAACCTTAGATCAAACCTGAATGCCTACCATTCTTCCAGGCACCGTATGACTTCTGTGGATTTAGCTCTGCTCTATGAACATAATAACAGTTTAAGATGGTCAGTTCCTCAGTATTGGTAAGTGTTCAGCTCCATAGCTTTGATCAAAAGTCTGGAGCTGAATGCTTACCAAGACTGAGGGACTGACAATGTCAGACTTTAATCATTAGTTTTACAGGCTAAAAACTGTTATTCTATCTCAGCTCTTTTCTAAGCCCATTGCTATCTAAGGTATACTACCACCCTCTGGGATGCGATCTATACCAGTTGACTAACGCCCAGATACCTACTTACTGCTAGGTGAACAGGCAGCAGGTTTAAGGAAACATTCACAATGTTTCCACCTGTGCAGTAGAGTAAACCACAAACCCTCGGTATGTGAACTGAGTACACTTTCAACAAACCATGAGACAAGGCTGAAGGACTGATCATCTCATACCTACATCTCTATTACTATTGTCTCAATTATATATGTCTCAAATATATATGTCACTTCTACATTTTAGCTGAAGAAGCCTACCAAGCAGGCAAAACCTCTTGGCAATATACATACCAAACTTTTGCACACGTTCCTTACTTGTCAACCTTAGAAGGATGTTAAAATATACAGAACAGTTTTTTCTCATCTTTGTCTCCATGTGAGTTGGTTTTAAATATGTCACTAATGAATATAAAATTTCAGGAGCAGCGGCAGTAGTAATCCCACCCTGTACCTATCTTCTCTGGTGTCCCCTATTGCCTCGCGTACATTACGCTCACCCTCCCCTCATGGTTACCCCAGCACTAATGGCAGTGGAGCACATGCATCATCACCTCTGCATGCTACTCACAACCCACATCCCCAGCTTAATATCTGGACCAGCCAGGTAAGAAAATAACTTTTAGTACACTGTTATTGCCTTGAGGGAGGGGGATTTTACTTGGAATTTCTATAATTACCATTAACATATACAGATGCTCCTTGCTTTACAATGGTTTGATTTACAATATTTTAACTTTACGATGGTGTGATAGCAAAGCATATTCAGTACCGTATAGTACTGTATGTTTATTGATTGGATAAACTTGTACAGCCTCTCCTCACTTAGCGATGTACTTGTTTAGCGACAACTTGGACTTACGACGGGCTCTCGAACCAGTATGCATACCTAAATAATGTATATTAGAGCTGATTTTTTCTATTCTGATTATTACAATATACCATACACTAATGTATAAACATTTAAAAATACAGTGGAACCTCGGTATACGATCAGCTCCCTACACAAACAAAGCTCAGCACTTGACCAAACAAATACGACCTATCAGAACGTCGCAGTAAACTATTTCGCGTTTCTTCGCATTTTTTGGTGTTTTTTGCATTATTTGTATAAATAAGTCACCATGGGACCTACAAAGATTAGTGATAACAGCCAACCAGACAGAAAATTGGTTGGGAAGAACTTGTTCAATACTCAATGGAGTGGCACTCGAACAGCCTTCTGGAATGAATTAAGGTTGTATACTGAGGATCCACTGTATACTAAAAATGTTATAAATGATACAAAGATGACATTAAAGCTATATCAGAGATGGTTGACACAAACCCACTACCATCATAGTATGCTCCTTGCTTAGCAACGAATTCATTTACCAATGTGGTCTTAGGAATGGAACTCCATCTTTAAGTGAGGAGAGGTTGTAATCAGCTATGCACATGTTTCCTGGAATATCTCAGAAGTAAGTTATTGACCTATTTCATATTGTATTACCGTTAATAATGAATAGATTGGAAGGATTTTCACAGCAAACGTAAAACTGAATGTTGCATGAATATTATGCAGAGAATTCATAGTTTGGAGATTAGAAGGTGCAGTGTTTTAAAAAGTATTATTCAGAGGGCTGAAGAGGGGTTGGACATTTAGAAAGGATGGAGCAAAATAGGATGACTTGGAGGGTGTATAAATCTATAGTGGAGGAAAGGAGGGGTAGGGGTCATCCTAGGAAAGGTTGGAGGGAGGGGGTATAGGAGGTTTTGTGTGCAGAGGCTTGGATTTCCAACAGGCATGTGCAAACGTATTAAATAGGAGAGAGTGGAGGCAAGTGATTTTTATGACTTCGTGTTATGTAGGAATGTGAGCAAGGTAACTGTTTTATCAAATGACACAAGTGCAGCTCTCATGCAGTCACCTGGTAATATCACTCTACCAGACTTTGTGAACAAAAATTTATATCCATCTTAACAAATTAGCAGAATATTAATATACAAATAACCATCTACAAGAAAAAATTATAAGTAGCATCTACTTAGTGGGCTGTAGAATTTTGTGCTTTGTAAAGAAAATAATCTCATCTGATGGAGAATAAATCACAATATCATAACTGGAACAATCCAGAAGTAGCCCACAATGAAGAATAAAAAGGCCCCATACCATGGCTGGAACAATACACAAATAACCCACAGTGAAGAATAAAAAGGCACAATGCCATGACTGGAACAATATACAGATAACTTGCACAGAGAAGAAGGAACCCTTTGATGACGTGTGTAACTAGTTAATGGTCCTAATCAGACCAAAATGTCATTGTAAGTTTCTTTCTCCTATGTGCAGATTACAGTGGACCCTCAGCCAACGGCAGTAATCCATTCCAGAGGGCTTGCTGTTGGTCGAGTTAATTTTCCCCATAAGAAATAATGGAAATAGAATTAATCCGTGCCTGACACCCCAAAGTCTCAATTTTTTTTTTTTTTTTGACAGGAAATATACATTTCCTTATATGGAAAGGAATGGGACATGCAAAATAAACAATAATTAAATGCCACTTACCTTTATTGTGGAGTTGTTGATAAGTGATGTGCCAGCAGCAGGGGAAATTCAGGATTGTCTATTACAGTGGACCCTCAGCTAACGATATTAATCCGTTCCTGAAAGCTCATCGTTAGCTGAAATTATCGTTAGCTGAATTAATTTTCCCCATAAGAAATAATGGAAATCAAATTAATTCGTGCAAGACACCCCAAAGTATGAAAAAAAAAAAATTTTTTACCACATGAAATATTAATTTTAATACACACAAACTGACACTTACCTTTATTGAAGATCTGGTGATGATTGATGGGATGGGAGGAGGGGAGAATGTAGAAGTTGTTAATGTTTAGAAGGGGAATCCCCTTCCATTAGGACTTGAGGTATCAAGTCCTTTTCCAGGGTTACTTCCCTTCTTCTTTTAATGCCACTAGGACCAGCTTGAGAGTCACTGGACCTCTGTCGCACAACATGTCTGTCCATAGAGTCCTGTACCTCCCGTTCCTTTATGATTTGTCTAAAGTTGTTCACAACATTGTCATTGTAATAGTCACCAGCATGGCTTGCAATAGCTGTGTGAGGGTGATTTTCATCTATAAAGGCTTGCACTTCAAGCCACTTTGCACACATTTCCTTAATCTCTTTCTTCATATCCATAGTAATTCTCACCCTTTTTCCTGCAGGGTTGGCACTAGAAGCTTTCTCGGGACCCATGGTGACTTATTTTGCAGGTACAATCACTAAAAACGCTGTGACAATTGAAATGTTCCGATTGTATGCGTGGATGCGACCGCACTAGCTGGCTTGTAAACACTGGCACCCAATGGACAACTGAGGCGCGCTCAGGCCACACGTGGACACGTCTCAAACGAATCGCGTTGGGTGAGTTTTTTAGCATTAGCTGAGGCAAAAATTTTGCGTTAAAATGTATCGTTTAGCTGATGCCATCGTTAGCTGAGGGTCCACTGTACTTGGAAGGAGAATCCCCTTCCATATAGACTTCAGGTACCAAGTCCTTTGGTGGGGTTACCTCCTTTCTTGGTTTTTTAATGCCACTAGGACCAGCTTGAGAATCACTGGACCACCCTCTACCACCAGTACCACCCTCTACCACCATCACTACCGCCCTCTACCACCACCACTTTCGTATTTTTCTACAAACTTTTTCTTGAATTCTGTCATGTTTCCCACATCCTTTACCAAAGGGCTGGCTCTAGAAGCTTTCTTGGGGCCCATGGTGGCTTATTTAGCAGTTACAAGCACTAGAAACAGTGGAAAACTCCAAAATGTATGTGAGGCACACGTGGAAACCGACCACAACAGATTGTAAACAATGGCACACTGAGTCTTGGAGTGGCTGGGGACATGTTCTGGACGAATGTCATTGGTTAAGTTTATCGCCGTTGGTTAAGGCATTTTTCTACGGCAAAAAGCGCCGTTAGACGAAATTGCTGTTGCTTAATGCCGCCGTTAGTTAAGGGTCGGCTGTATTTGTATAACTCACAATTTGGAGGGGAAACTTAACTTGATGTTTTGAGCTGTCTTGGACCATTATGAAGCCACTTGGTGTGATAATCATCCAGAATGAACAAACAGTCTAAAGTGTTTTTATCTAAACTGTGATTTGCTTGGGATTCTAAATATCATTGAGAAGGAAGAAGTTTGAGTAAGAAGTTTATTATTCAGGTAGTACTGCAAGTGATGATGGAGATATGGGTAAATCAGTGCCTTCCTCCACCTACACGGTCACCGGGACGTGTGCTTCCCTCAACCCCAGTATCACCACATAGTCAGGTGAGCTATTGCTTCCATCCTCTTGTTCATCTACTACTGTTTTGTTTAAGTGAAATTAAATAAGATAAAAATAATTTACAAGATGAAGATTGTTATATTTTTTTGTTTGTAATCACTTATTAGTATACTTTGGTTATGTTTATGAGACTTTAAATTACAAATCTTATTTATATATACTGTTAAATAAGAATATGTTGTAGCTAACTTGAAAATAATGCATGGGAGTAAAATGTTTACAAGGAATAGATCATAAATTATTTTTGTGTTAATAGGAGTAAGGCTAGTATGTAGAAGTAATTATATGTTTCAAACTTAATAGCCAACAGTGTTAAATTCTACCTGTTACACCCTGCTCTGAATGTGGGAAACAATACATCAAGCACTGTTGAGCAGCTCACCGAACAGAGGGTATGAACCCATGACAAGCCAATCCAAGCAGGCCAGTGCACTATCCACTGAACCTAGCTTGGGCACTGGCCAGCATTTAAAGTTTTAGCACTGGTTTGCTATGGTTCAAACCCTCCCTTTACTGAGATGTTAATGTGTCATTACGATTTTGCGAGTCACCATTAAGCAACACAGGAGCATCACAAACATAAGAAATATAAGAAAACATTGCTTCTCTGTGCATAAATGGTATACAGTATCAACACGATGAAGAATTAGGCACATGTGCAGCATCAGAGTATCTATACTTGAGACATTTCACCATCCAATGGTTTTATCAATACAGATTAAAGAACATTGTAAAACTACATACAAAGGATGAGGAAATTAGTCCCTTAGTCTTGGAGTTGGTGATGTGCACTGTAATCTTGAAGATTCTGAAGCACAGGCAGGAAGATTGGCACTTATATACTGGTGTCAGATGAGGGATGTGCAACAGCCGAAGACATTGTCACAGGTAGACAGGATTCCCAAGTGGAAGTAAGTCATATCCAAGTGATGGGCCAGGAGTAAGCAAGAAGGTTGCAGAGATGTCCTCTGAACCAAGATTCCATGATGTTGCTGTGCCTGACAAGTTGTACATGAATGGTATACAATACCAACAAGATGAAGCATTAGACACGTGCAACATCTAGACTACAGTGCTCATCACCAACGCCAATACTGAGGAACTGATTACTTCGTCTTTTGTATATAGTTCTACAGTCTTTCTATTATATGCTTGAAATTGTATTGATAAAGTCACTGGATGGCAAAATGTCTGCAAATAAGACCTAAATGTTGCACAAGTTTCTAATTCTTCACATTGCTCTTCTGTGTTTATATAATAGAATGCATATGATAAAAAATTGATAAGCATCATATGAGTAACTTCAGTGGAACAGGCTGTTGTGCTTTGTTCAGATGGTAAGCACAGAATTGGAACATGGAAAGAATATTGTAAGAAAGGTGACAGTGTTAACTAAATTGAAGTTAAACAACAGAAAAGTTGTAAGACAGGATGCTTGTGAAATGGGAGGAAGTTTATGTCCGTGTACCATAATGTGATACAGTAATTGATTGACGTGTACAAGAATTTATGCATGGAGCACCTTACCACAGTGAAACACAGTCCATAAAAATTGGAATATAGTAGGCGTGAGTCTTGATGTCATTCATTATACTTCTTGTATAACAATACAATTTTAAAAACTTTTGATAGGTTAAACCAGACATGGAGAAATGAAATTAATGAAGATTGGCTTCTGAAATGATTAAATAGCATACTCCTATTTATTCTCATAGGTATGCTAAGTCAGATATTGGATACATACATTTAATAATTTAACTTCCTTTGCAGTACACTGCTCTGCATGTGTGCAGTGTGTTTTCAGAACACACACCTCTAGAGTATCGGCCAAATTGGCACACAAATGGCTTTGTAAGTTATGTATTGCACCCTTTATGTATAGCCACATCTCATTGCTGCCTCCAGCCACCTGCTCACTGTGTTTCACTCTTTTAGATCTTAATTTACTAAGTTGCACTGTTATCAAGATGTATATAGTAATTGATACCTGAATATACCGTATATACAGTATTATAATTTTTTGTATATTGGTGGTTGTCTGTTTTTAAATGCTTTGTTCTTGGAAAATTAAATGAGCGCTATTAACTAAATGTGCTAATAACCATCTCTTCACAAGTACGTACATGTAAAGGTAAAACTATCAATTATACTTATTTGAAAATGTAATTGCTATGTAAGGACTCACCAGAGAGGAATTAATAATTACTTTTCATGTATAAAAACTGTTTTAGTTTGTAGAAACTTTTTAAATCGTTATGGTATCAACGAATATTCAGTCAGAGATTTCCTGGGTCATTAATTATGATCCAGTTACTTAAAACAGTGAAAATAAATGTAGCCTTCAAAAGTGGTTTTTAACTGTTGTAAATATAACAATACTGTACCTGTATGTTAAGAGAATAAACCAGGAATGGGTGGAATTTGAACCCATGGCCAGTGAGTCCTAAAACTCCAGGCCAGTGAGTAAGCCACTTGCCATGGCAATGCTGGTGGGTGATTCATCTGAAAACTTTCATTTGTGGTCACAGTGGTGGCCCATGCTAACCTCCCTACGGTATATAGAAATATACCTAGTTTGATGAGTCTTATTGTAACCAGCTGGTCCAAGGGTAAACACACTGGCCTGGAATTTTAGGACTCGCTTACCATGGGTTCAAACCTCACTCGCTCCTGGTTTCGTGAGTCATGATATTAAGAGAATCTTGTTAGGTCAGTATCAGATATCCTGAAAAAATTTTTTTTTATTGCTATTGCAGTCATTCCTTCCTGCTAGCATTGCTACAATTCAGACATAATTTGTATTACGTAATTGCTGTAACCAATAATAGTGGACGTCAATTTTGAAATATTTTACCTCTTTCTCTAGTCAATGAAAACGTAATCTGAAACCATTTTTGTGATAAAATTTAGGTAGGAATTTTCAGTATGATGAAGTTTGTTTAATCTAGTCATTACTTCAGCTAATTTTCAGTGAAAATTAGTACAGTATCAGATTTTATTTTTGGAAGTATTTCAATATGTACACGTACTATTATTGTATATGGTAATAATTCTCTCATTCAAAACTATTCAGAATTTTCTCAAATTAAGAAAATATTTCCTAAGATTGGAAGAATTTACAGAATTTGGAATTATCGAAATAATAAAAATTTGGAATTTTTGTTATAATAAATTCCCAAATCTAGAGTATTTTTTTGTGAAGAGAAAGGTTTTGAACATTGCTAATTCAAATAATTCTCAGAAATTCAGAATTTTCCAAATAAGAGTGAAAATTATGAATTTTAATTGGAAAATGTCTAGAGCATTTTTTTTTTTTTTTTTTTTTTTTTTGTCCAAAGACAGGCGTGCAATTTCTAATTGAGAGTCAGACATTTCACTCGCCTCACCGCCTCCACCTCCACCTCTTCCTCCTCCTCCACCTCCACCTCCACCACCTCCACCTCCTCACCACCACCTCCACACCTCCACCTCCTCCACCTCCTCCACCACCACCTCCACCTCCCCACCCTCCTCACCACCTCCACCACCACCTCACTCCTCACCTCCTCCTCCACCACCTCCACCTCCACCTCCACCTCCATCCTCCCCCTCCTCCACCTCCACCTCCTCCACCACCTCACCTACTCCTCCCTCCCCCCTCCTCCTCCACCCTCCTACCTCCCACCTCCTCCACCACCCTCCTCCTCCCACCTCCTCCCCTCCTCCCCTCCACCTCCTCCTCCTCCCCTCCTCCTCCTCCACCTTTCCTCCTCCACCTCTCCCTCACTTCCTCCTCCTCCTCCTCCTCCACTCCTCCTCCTCCACCTCCTCCTCCACCTCCTCCTCCCACCTCCACTCCCCCACCTCCTCACCTCCACTCCTCTCCACCTCCTCCACCACCTCCACCTCCTCCACCTCCCACCCCCTTTCCTCCTCCACCTCCTCCTCCCCTCCTCCACCCCTCCTCCACCCTCACTCCTCCACCTCTCTTCCCCCTCTCCACCCCCCACCTCCTCCTCCCCTCCACCACCTCCACCTCCCCCCCATCCCCTCCATTCCTCCTCCACCTCCTCCACCTCCACCTCCTCCACCTCCTCCACACCTCCACTCCTCCATCTCCTCCTCCCTCCTCCACCTCCTCCACCTCCTCCCCCACCTCCACCTCCTCCTCCACCTCCTCCTCCCCTCCTCCACCTCCTCCTCCTCCTCCTCCTCCTCCTCCTCCTCCTCCACCTCCCCTCCTCCTCCACCTCCTCCTCCTCCTCCTCCACCTCCTCCTCCACCCTCCTCCTCCACCTCCCTCCACTCCTCCTCCTCCTCACCTCCTCACCTCCTCCACCTCCCTCCTCCTCCACCTCCTCCTCCTCCTCCTCCTCCACCTCCTCCTCCACCTCCTCCACCTCTCACTCCACCTCCTCCTCCACCTCCTCCACCTCCTCCTCCACCTCCTTCCACCTCCCTCCTCCACACCACCTCCACCTCCTCCACCACCACCACCTCCTCCACCACCACTCCTCCTCCACCTCCTCCTCCACCTCCTCCTCACCTCCTACCACCTCCTCCTCCACCTCCTCCACCTCCTCCTCCACCTCCTCCTCCACCTCCTCCTCCACCTCCTCCTCCACCTCCTCCTCCACCTCCTCCTCCTCCTACCTCCTCCACCTCCTCCCTCCTCCTCCTCCTCCACCTCCTCTCCACCTCCTCCTCCACCTCCTCCTCCACCTCCTCCTCCACCTCCTCCTCCACCTCCTCCTCCACCTCCTCCTCCCCCCCTCCTCCACCTCCTCCTCCACCTCCTCCACCTCCTCCTCCACCTCCTCCTCACCCCCTCCTCCACCTCCTCCCACCTCCTCCTCCACCTCCTCCTCCACCTCCCCCTCCACCTCCTCCTCCACCTCCTCCTCCACCTCCTCCTTCCACCTCCTCCCTCCACCTCCTCCTCCACTCCTCCTCCACCTCCTCCTCCTCCTCCTCCTCCTCCTCCTCCTCCTCCTCTCCTCCTCCTCCCTCCTCCTCCTCTCCTCCTCCCTCCTCCTCCTCCCTCCTCCTCCTCCTCCTCCTCCTCCCTCCTCCTCCTCCTCCTCCTCCCCCTCCTCCTCCTCCCCCTCCTCCTCCTCCTCCTCCTCCTCCTCCTCCTCCTCCTCCTCCTCCTCCTCCTCCTCCTCCTCCTCCTCTCCTCCTCCTCCTCCTCTCTCCTCCTCCTCCTCTCCCCCCTCCTCCCCTCCTCCTCCTCCTCCTCCAATGAGTATATATATTTGTGTGTGCACTTTGTATCCTGTGTATTACTTGATCAAGATCTTAACAGATCCATCTGTTGCTTCAGTCAAAGCTTGACCTGCAAATGTACCATCTTCATACACTGTAATGATGTATTCGTGCACTCCCGTACACACATTATTATTATTTCTGTCTCTACAGGTTTAGTGCTTTCTCAGCCCTATGATAATTAATATTACTGTCTTGATAGTGTATTAACATTTTTAGACAGTTCACATTTAATAGTTTTTATATGGAATATTTAATTATGATTTACTTTGAATCAGTATTCCTTAACATATACAAATTTACCATACATTAATTTTGACAAGAGAATAAATATTAGATCTTATAAGGGATATGCTTAGGGAATATTATATTATACATGTACTCTCGTGTTTGTTACTTAGGAAAGATTATAGTGTACATGTACTTTACTGTTTATAGCTTAGGGAAAAGGTAAAAACAAAGGGTGATACACCATCTTCACTTAATATATTTCTAAATCATTGAAATTATATTTTGTTGTGGTATAAGCTGATTTAGCTAATATAGCATTTTTTGTTGAAGCTTTTGTTTCTGGAAACCAAATAATTTTTTTTTTAACACTGGCTAACTCTGAGGTAGGGTGACCCAGAAAAGAAGAAACACTTCCACCATCATTCATTCTGTCACTATCTTGTCAGAGGCACGCTGACACTACGGTTCAGATGCTCCTCCAAACTGCAAATATCGCTACCTCTCCTTCAGAGTGCAGGCACTGTGACCCCTACCCTGTCTTCCCTCCACTACAGATTTATACACCCTCAAAATCATTCTATTTTGCCATATCTTACATTAATAGCAAACTTTCACCAAATTATCATGCCCCCACATATATTTGTTACTAGTGTCATATCTGTATAGTTAGCCTTATTTAAGTATGTATGCACAGGTATGTACTGCATTAATGTTTGTACATTCTGTATTTATGTAATTTTTTTTTTTACACGTCGGCTGTTTCCCACTGAGGCAGGGCAACCCAGAAAGAAAGAGAAAACTTTTATCATCATTCATCACTTTCACCATCATGCATACATAATCACTCATGTATATATGTACATATTTACTGTACTGTATTGACATATTTGATTATATATGCATATGTACATATTCATGTATGTACAGTACATATTTGTGTGTGTGTACATAATATCTGCATGTATGTATTTGAGTGATGAATGTGTTTTTCTTTCTTGGCCATCCTGCCTTTGTGGGAAATAACTGATGTGTTTAAAAAAGTACTTGTGTGTTTAGATACCCTGCTTCCTTCATGTGAGAGTGACCTAAAGTCAGGTCACGAAGGTGATGAACCCTAAACTGGTCACAGATAAATAACAAAAAGGCACAATACCGTGACTGGAACGATACACAAATAACCCGCACTACTACTACTACTACCTCCACCTCTTCCTGCCTATATATAGCCGTCCTGCTCCACCTCTGTTAGTGTGACTTTGTCAATGGTCCAAGTCGGACCGAAACGTCGTCGTAAGCTTCTCTCTTTTATGTGCGGGTTATTTGTGTAACTGGTCACGGGTTTGCCAAATATTTCAGTCACCTTCAAGTGTTTGGTG